CCTGAAACAGAAAAACATGATTATAAACATGAAAAAACTTAAATATCTACCAATTATACATTATAAACATAAAAAAACTTAAATATCTACCAATTATACATAAAAAAACTTAAACATCTAACAATTGCACATTATAAACAGGAAAAACTAAAAGTTTATACCCTAATCTAACTTAAAACTAATAAAACATACATATTATTTACAATAATTTCAATTTTATGTGATGCGTTTACAAAAATATATACAAGAAATATACTAATCTAACTTAAAACATATATATTATTTACAATAACTTCAATTGAATGTGTTGCATTTACAAAAGTTTACATTAATCTATCTCAAGTATAATTATATAACATGATAATATTTACAATATATAACAAACTATATAACATGGTAATATTTACAATAAGACTAATTAACAGAAAATATATAAAATCAGGTTGTGTAATGTAGAAGGTCTCTCATTAATCCTTTCTCTTCCTCGTTCCAGCCCCCTCCATCTTCCTCAAGTTCTGGCCATATGTCATCTTCTCTGTAAAATTAAGAGTAAATGTTAGAAAAATAATTTAAATATATATATTTTGTAATAACTTACTCTATACTATAATGCCCATGGGCTAGTGTGTGTATTTTGTCCTCTAACACTACTCTCTTATCGTCATAATTGTTGTACGTTAACTTCTTGGTCTTTATCGTCATCAATTGGTGGTTAAACGACCGTATTGACACATTCTCCTTGTACGCCTCTAATCCTTCTTCCCCAAACAAACACTTCCTATGATCTTCCAATGTCATGTGGTTTTTAACCACATGAGACCTGATACCCTTCGCTTTAATTTTCTCTCCTCCTCCTATTCTGTCTTCTGGTCCAGCATATACATTGAACGCGTATGACTTGGCCCTCAACGCAACAAACTCTGTAATAATATTGGAGTCCACCTCATCGGAAAAGAGCCCCGGCTCCTTCTTTCTATCTGCTATATAACATGGGTGGTCACGAGGCATGTTAGCAGTGTCCATCCGGTCCAGTAGATTAGAATTAGTAGCCAAGTCTACATAAAAATCTTGGGTTTCAATATAATATATCAATGAATCTAGAAAAATAACGTTAAATTAATATATTATATACAGGAGAATAGTTTTAGTATATTTACCTGTGTCAGTGTACATCAATTTAATTTTGTCTCCATAATGTCTCTGCATAACATTATAGTGATAATCATACATCATTGTTTTTGAAATATCTAGTACAGCGAATCCTGTAAATAATAAATGTGTTAATAAATGATAAAAGTGTAATTTAAAAAAGTATATTTACCAATATAAATAGGTTTATCAAATTTAATAATTTTGTTCTCCAGTGCGACAGCGTTCAGGTTCTCATTATAAGTAGTACAATACTTGAATGTGCTCTTATTTATCAATTTCTGTAACCTCCTTTCACATGATACCAACTCCATCTTCATCTCCTTCCTCTTCGATTGCATAGTCTTCCCTGAAAAAATAAAAATGTTGGTAAAAATGTTTAAGTAGTATAAATAAAGTAACATACCAAATACAGCGTTGTTCATCAACTTAAAAAAATCTTTCTCAAACGCGTTTGTAGCTCTTTTCCTCATCTCTGTATTCAACTTAATATATTTAGCCAGCCAATCTGACTGGTTAAAGTGAATAACTCTGTGCACCTATAAAAAATAAGAAAAATGTTAAAAATCTGATTAAAACCATATAAAATACAAATATTTACTTTTTCAACTATCAGCCCATTCTTAATCGCCTGCTGTAGATTTCTGTAATGTATGACGTAATTCTTCTTCTTTTCAAACGTTGCCATCAACTTCCTAACCTTCGAACCACGCGGCACACTATTTTGTGGTAGGAAAGGTAGGTCGTTATGTTCGTTGTGTAGGTGTCGTGGGTACATCACGTCCACCTCATACACTCGTCCTATTGGGGAGGTGTCATCCAAATCATCCAATCCGTTTAACGTAGGTTCAACCCACTTGAACCCACCGTACGGCATGTACTGTGACATAGCCCATCCGTACAAGTTGTTACCTATAAAAAATAATAAGTATGATATATAATAATACGTTTTGAAAAAATATACTTACAGTCCTGATATATTATCCATGATTTATCTTTTGTCTCGTCATAATCCGGGGTCTTGTCATTATTAGCCTTCGCATACCTCTTACTTGCCTGCACCAATCCTCCACGTATACCTATAAAAAAAATATAAGATTATTATATATTAATTTTTAAAAAAAAAAATAATATACTGACCATTCTCGAACATCAACAACATGTCATAATCGTCTAGCAACTGCAGCTTTTGCCCCGTGAACTTAAGCATCGCATCGAAACTTAAGCCTGGGGCGGTGAAATAATGAGCGGCGTCCAGGTTATACGCCCTCATGCACACGTCGCGGAAGTTTTCAAAAACGTCCGCCAACAACAACACGTCGATTTTCAGGTATAGATCGCTGTACTCCCCCAACGTCGTACAGCCGAAGTGGTCCCAGACCTCCTTCGCGTGTTCAAACTCCTTCTCCTTAATCCCGGTCTCTGTCAATGTACTATAAAATTCTCTCTTCCTCGGTAACCTCGTCTCCTCCAGCCGCTCCCAACTATCCGTGTACTCGTACGGGTACACCCCCTTACGAGTCACGAGCGGCATATCTCCGGCGACAAAATGTTTGGCTGTCTCACGGAAGTTCTCCAGACCTGGTGTAATTAAATTTTCGGCCAGGGACGATAAACTCGACGCCATGAACCGGAACGTGTCGATAAACCGAACAGTGAAGGTACTACTTATATATTTGGAGAAAGATATATATTTCTCTTCACTGTTCGGTATAACGTTGATAGCTTTAGTATCATAGCCAAGTTCCGTCACTATTAGATGCGCGTCGTAGTTGGAAAGGTTATGGAAAAAAACGGGGGCAAATTTAGGCTGTTGTAACTCTAAGTTACACCTCGAGCACAAGGTCTGCCTAAATTTGCCCGTTAAATGATCATGATCCCTAACCTTATCGCCCCCGACTAATATGCATTTGCATAAGTTACACTCTATACACTCTTGATGTGTTTTTTCTTCGTCCTCGCTTATGATTATTGGGGTATTCGTCTTCATCAGATTTTCGATTTTCAGGGCCACATCAACAATCGACTCCACAAAATGTTTAGCCACGTCCGTCCTGTCTTCGCTGCCTCTATAGATTACCGGCCCCGCCGGTATCTCGTACTCCGCCAATAATTCCGCCGGCACGTCGTCGCTTGCCTTCACCAAAAACCCGTAGCTCATCGCTTCGTGTCTCTGTATAACTGTGGTACTATCGCCCCTCTTTTCCTCCGTCTTCACCAACAATGATTCAAAATCCGCGTAGATAACAATCGGGTGTCGCTGTGTCTTCTTCCACGCCTTAAACTCTACACATTCACCCTCCTTCGGCATTTCCGGTAAAATAGGTTTATGCTCACCGCAAATCAGTTTATGCTGATTCAACGCGGCCTGCCCACTCAATTTGTATTTTAAATTTCGGTTGTCGAATGACGTGAAGCACCTTTTACAAAAAATGACACTCTCATTGTGTCTCGTTTTCTGCGCACGTACGAGCCGGGAAAAATTTGAGATATATATATAGTGCGAGTTGTCACCGTCCGTTGCCAACAACAAGTCAAAATGGTCCGGTCTCTCCTCGTCGACCACACGTAACGGATATACCTCGTACGTCGGATATTTACGCGGTGGCTGGAACTTTTTCTCTACTCCATAGACGTTAATGGACACGTTGATATTATTTTTTTCGAATTTTGTAATATCAGACAAAGGTGTCGGGAACGAAATACCGTTAAAATCGTACTTGCCCTCATGCCGACTATATTTATCCCCCTCCACACGAAATGCCGACGGCCCAGTCACATTTCTAGCTAAAATTGCCCACTTAAAACATTGCTGGTCCGAGTTTTTGGGGTTGATGGTGGCCCGCTTCCTATCGATATACGCCGGTAATTCAATATATGACGACCCAGTCATTGGTGTGTAATTGTATATTCCTAATAATAAGCCGTCTATTGTCTCCAGAGTAAATCCACTACCGCGCGACTTATACTCCTCCTCCTCCTTCAACAACTTTATATACGCCCTCTCAATGATCGTACTAATGTCCCTATCTGAGAAAATTTCTACTGCCACTGTCTTAAATGCCCGGTTCTCCGACGAATTGGGGACGTTGGGCCGGTTGTACGTAGCCTCGAGTTTCAAATTAAATTTTATTGGCCCTTGTTGAACTCTGGTCTTTAATAAATTTTCAATCTCGGGCATGAGGGGTCGAAGAAAGTTGGAATAAATCGTTGTATTGCCTATATTTTTTGCATAGTACCATAAGATTTTACGGCTCGCAGACGATAAAATTTCTACGAACCCGGGGACCTTCACCATATCCATACGCGTCTTTTTTGCCCTAGCAGCTGAGGTGGTGTTGGCACTCGAAACACGTTTCCCGTTGACGGTAACGGTGTAAGAATCTTTAAAAAAAACCTAATATTAATATCTAATGAAAATAATAAATTGACTAATCTATTAGAAATCTAATTATCCTTACGAATCTTAAAAAATCTACTGATATAACAAATGTTGACATATAATAAAATCACGCGATGAAAAAATTAAATCTATCAAACGATCTGACAACCGGTGCAATGCCGGAATACTCCAACTATTACCCCATAGGATGCGACGTGTGAATTGATCGATATAATGCCGGAATACTCCAACTATTATACCATTGATCGCTTCACAGACCACTTGATAAGTTTAAAATAAAAAATATATAATTTATATTTAAAATGTGTTGTACGATAATTTGTTGAATTTTAAAAATCTATTTTTAAAAATCTAATTGGTCGAGCAATAATACTTGTCGGTATTTCTTTTTAAAAATGATCCTATAAAATCAGCGGGTCTTTTAAAAATCTAATTCTTATAAATAAAACTAACCTGTATCCTCAAATTCATCCATTGCGTTCATACATATTTCGTCTTCGGTTAACATATTGGAGCCACCGGCCGGGGCATCAGGTACAAATATTTGCGGCGCAATCTGGACCTGTTGAGCTGGAGCTGGTTGAGTGGTGATCGGGGCAGCAGGTATAGGCCTCAAGTGAGCCGGAACGTTTACGATACCTTAGGAAAAATAATATAAATTAATATTGTATAAGATTACATAAAACGTATACAATTTCTATACATACCATGAATGTTCTTCATATGCCTTTTAAGATGCGACTTATCGTTGAACAATTTATCGCATACAGTGCATGGGAAACGTATGCCCGCATGAGTTTTGCCATGTCTGACCAAATTACGTTTTGCGGTGAAAACCGACGGACACTGTTCGCATTTAAACATGATTAAAATGTTTGAAATAAAAACGAGATGAAAAATAATATAGTGTTTAAAACACTTGCAAAAATTAAACACTTGAAAAAATTGTAAAAACTGTTGAGTAAGGACTGTGAAAACACGGAGAGAGCAAAGGCAAAGTGCGCGTAAAGGTATGGGTGTCTGGAACAGACTGACTATGTCTTGGTGGACAACGGAGCGAGTGTCCAGAAATCTCGACATTTTTGGTGAGGGTAGCATTTCAAGCCGCGGGTTACCAAAATATTAATCGGGTATTTACTATGATAAATGTGTACATCACTAGTTATTACCAATTATTTTAGGAAACATCACTACAATTTCCAGGAATTCGCCTGTGCGTGTTGACAACAGACCGGACGAAACAGGTCGTTCCGCTGACAATAGAACATGTTCGCCGTTTACTCGGAACTATCAATACGTGTCTAACACAATGGTGTATATAACCCTCACTCGATGAATCCTTACAAAAATAGTTGCTAACATACCTAGAACCGTAAAAGGTGCAAGTGGTCAAGGCTTAAAATATACAAAGGGGTATACATGTATAGTGTTGTTGAAGAATGTTAACAATAGATAGGGTATGTCCAACACATGTCTCGCTATAGAACGTTATGGCGACAGAAATTTAAGGTTTAAAATATACAAAGAGGTATAGTCTCCTTGTTGAAGAATAGTTAGGATATGTCGGAACACACAAAACGTTTTATTCCTGAAGATTGTAATTGTATAAGTATATGATTCTTAAAAGTGTTTATTTTTTGAAAAATGTATATAATATATGCGCATGCGCGGAAATATGTGACGGGGATAATAATAATACAGCTATATACGTTAAGAATCAAAGGATTAGTATATCAGGTCTGTGGCCTAGTGGGTTAAAGCGTCGGTGCTATAGCTCGGGGGTCGAGGGTTCGAATCTCGCCAATCTTTTTTTCAATATTTATTTAATGAAAGAAAGTTTACAATAATATGTACGATAATATACACAATAATATGTACAATAGTATGGTATCAAAATATGAGTGTTAGATAAGAGACTATGTGTTGTACGCATGCGCTGTACATTACGTCCGTCACGTGACGGATCAGGCGGCGGCGGCATGACGAGCAAGGACGGGGTGGGGTAAAATATACGTCGCGTACGTGCGCGATCGGGCGGCGGCGATGACGAGGAGGGCGAGCAATGGCGAGGAGGGCGAGCAAGGATGTGCGGATGTGCAGGGGCGAGCAAGGGCGAGCGGATGTGCAAGGGCGAGCAAGGACGAGCAAGGGCGAGCAAGGGCGAGCAAGGGCGAGGGGACGAGCCTTCTGAACACCCCAAATCATACTACTTTCGAACTTTTAAGTGTATATTTTAATGCATATTTTGACAATTTTTAGTGCATGAATGCATGCTTATTTATGCATTTTTTAGTGCATGAAGTTACTAGCCCTGATTATAATATATAATAAAACAACATTACCATGACAATATTTATTTATTTACGGACATGTACGCGTTCGCGTTCGTACGGCCGCCCGTTCGTACGCGTCGCCCGTTCGCTTTTTTTTTCCTCACTACCGTGCGTAAAGAAGTATAACTTCAAAAGTATTTGTCAAATAGAATTCATAATTTATAAATATTGCTCAAATACAAGTTACAACGTACTTTAGACTCCCTTTAACAATAGACTCCGTAATAAGAATGCTTATTATTCTTAGTTCTTGGTAGGTATTATGGTTTATGGCTACAAGTCTACAATAATAATAAAAATTAAAAATAATACCATGACAAATAAAATTTGTTCATTTACGAATTAGGTACATAATCTTAAAAATACAAACACGAATTTTGCATCATAAACTATAATAATACTAAATAGGCTTAAAAAAAAATCAGAAAATGTTTGGGAGGGCTATTGAAGTGTTTGGGGGGCTTAGCCCCTAAAGCCCCCCCCCTATTTGCGCCTATGGGGTTAGGGGAACTAAAATCACCTGGAATAAATTATTTTACTTCTTTTTTAATATTTATAAAAAAACTATGATAATTATATTTTCATTAATTGCAAAAACCATTTACATCCAATTTTGTTTTTGGACATAACTGGTTATTGCAGCCAACTAATAAACAAAATATTTTATTTTAGTCAATAAGTCTTCTATTAATAATATGAATGTTAAATAGGGCCAGATTTAATAAACATAACAAAATTTAAAAAAAAAACTTTTATTAAATGAAATATAAAAAAAGGTGGGTAAGTGGATGTCGCTCTGCTGTACAGTAGGTTACAAGTGGGTCACTGTATAATGGATGCTTTTAAATTTGAATTCAATGATACAATATCATTGTATAAGAAAAACGACTCTGAGCGAAGACGGTATGTCAGTCTAGGTTTAAGACAAATTATATACATATCTATGGTATTAAAAAAAAAATTGACTTATAATAAATTCCAAATTAATCATATCACATTATCACAATATCCATTAGGTACTTATAACATGTTATACATCAACATCAATAACAAACCCTGATACTATCATAGATATATAATAGTACACTTTAGAAGTTTCAAGTAGGTACCCCGTACCCACGAATAATATTATATAATCACAACAAAATAACTAGGTTTTTTAATATGAAATTTCGTCCAAATTTGAACATAAAATGACTATAAAAATAAACTGTGATTGTATATTTTTTAGATTTTTCGGTAAGAGAATTAACTACTTACGTAGAATCTTGTTTTAAATTTTCAATCCTTAGCTATAAAAACTGAACATTTTATAATTTATTAATTACGATGATTAATAATTTTCGAGATTTTGAAAAATTCTGTCAAAATTCGATGTTAAAACGCTTATAAAAAAAAATTGTGCCTATGTATTTTTAATATTTTTCAACTGATATTGTAACAATATATCAGGAGCCTTGTATTAAATTTTTACACTTTTTGGCCCAACAGATAAAACTTAATTGATATTTATAGAAAAAAAAAACTAAAAAAATTGAAAACTGAAAATGTCCGTAAACGGCTCAAAAAGAGTCAAAATATTTTCAAAATTGTATGGTGTATAGGAAATGCTAATATAAACATTCAGTGAAATTTTCATGTATCTACAGTAATTCGTTTTTTAATTACAACAAAAAAAGGAAATCGCCACATGAGAAATCGAGTGAATATCCAATGTTGTAAAAATTTGAATTTCAAACGCTCATAAAAATTTAATTTGACTTTCCGGTAGAGATTTTTTTATTGATAAAGGTAGACAATCTTATGAGTAATCTTGTATTAGATTTTCAAATCTTAGATTTAAAAAGAAAAATTTTTACGAATTCTTAACTCAAAATAATTTGCTAATTTTCGTGATTTTTCCATATTTTGTCAATTTTTGAACTTTAAATGCTTATAAAAAAAAATTGTGACTAAGGATTTTTAATATTTTTCATCTGCCTTTGAAACAATATATTAGGAGCCTTCTATTAAATTTTCAAGCTTTCGCAACCAACAAATAAAATTTTATTGATATTTCTAGAAAAAAAACTAAAAAAAAACGAAAAATGAAAATGTCCCTAAACTGTTCAAAATAAATCAAAATATTTTGAAAATGTTATCGTGTATAGAAGATGCAAATATAAACAACCAGTGAAAATTGCATGTATCTACGGTCATTTGTTTTAAAGTTACACCAAAAACCAGAATCGATTTTTTGGAAAACCGATTTTGCGTAAAAATTCCCGTTTTTCCTTAATTTTTATGTTGTTTTTCCCGGCGCTCTTGAAAACTACTGGGAAATTTAAATTTTGACCTCCTCAATGCACCAACGATATTCACTTTCCAATCGAACAAGATACTGAAGTCGAAAATCGAAGCATTATTTCGACTACTTATCGTGTACACAGACACAAAAAAAATAAATATAAAAACACACATCATTGTAAAATCAATACATTCATCGTTTCACTCAGAATCTAAAAGGCAGGGAAGTGTATGTCGCTCAGCTGTACAGTAGGTTACAAGTTGGTCATTGTTTAATGGATTGTATTAAACTTGAATTCAATGATATAATATCATTGTATAAGAAAAACGATTCTGAACGGAGACGGTTTGTCAGTCTGTATATTTTATATTGTCATTAATTATTATAATTTATTTTATACTATTTCCTACCATGAACCTAATCACCCGCGGTTCTATGATAAGTCGGTACTGACTCATAAGTTAATGATACATGTTAATAATTTATGATATTTATATAGATAATACCTACCTATTTTTTTTTTATTCGTTGCTACGGTGATAAACAAATTGTTAGAAATTAAAATCCCATTTTAAGCCGTTTTTCGTAATTTTTCAGTACTTTTTCCCGTGGCATTAAATAACTATTGAGAAATCGAAAAATGACCTCTCTAAAGTACCATCTTGGTCCAATTTTCTAAAAGATAAGGTACTATATGTTGAAATCAAAGCACTCCTTCTGGTAGAAATTTTGTATACAGGATATAAAAAAAATAAAAAAATAAAAAAAAATAAACACCATTGTAAAACCACTAGCTTCCTTGCTCCGCTCAGAATCTAAAATTAACAATACCTAGACAACTTGTCGAGTATAATATTGTAACAAATGATATAATATTAAATATTAAATAATATTTTATTACTATTAACTATTAATATTTTATTAATAATATATTATAATATATTATGTATTAATTATTATAAATTATAGTTCATAATATTTAGAATTACTTGGTCAGTCTTAAAAATGTATTACAAACAATAAACTTATAAAATAAATTCAAAAAAAAAAAAAATTTGATAAAAGTATAAAAATGAATAGTAGATTACTTGACTACTTGTCAAATACCTATAAAATATTATCATGAATGATCATATTAAATAAATATTAAATAATATTTTATTACTATTAATTATTAACATTATATTATAATATATAGGTATATTATTATAGTTTTTTATAACTTTTTACTTTTTATTTTAGATCTTCTACAGAAGTTACAACACTCGTAACAACATCAAAATGGTTACTATTTGAGTTAATTAAGTATATACATTTTTCATGTATATTAAATACTTCTGGAATTTTACCAGATTTATGGAATACTTGCCAATATGGTTTGTTGGAAAAAGTATATACCATTATGGTTGTGTTCATTAATAGAGCTGCAGCAAATAGCTCAACTTCAGTAGCCCAAATCGCTGAAATATAGGTAATTATTTATAATAGAATTAATTTTATTTTTTTGAATAATTAATAAATCATAATTTAAATTTGCTATAAAATGTATTGTAGTATGTAGTTGAGTGAAATATAAAACTAGTTGTAATACAAGTAAATACAATTATTGCATTTATTTATCTACCCATTTATTTATCATTCAAGAACATTAAATTGTGTTTACCATTCTTCCCAATAGGGTTGCTTATTAAATAGTCTTCCATCTGAGTTTGGCCACCAATAAATTGAATTACTTTATCATCATTTCACACACCGCCAGATTGTTCCTTTGACACCCTTGACACCAGATGCGAACGAAACCATTGAAGAGGACCATGGAAAGAAAGAGTGAATTTCATTTTTCTAGAATTAAATTATTTTTCATCGTATAAATTATTTAATTTATAATGTTTTTTCCTAGGCCGGAATCGCAAATGCTGCATTGCAAGCTGGTGACGGACGGGTTGCAGCAGAAACTGCCTGCTGATCACCCGTTCCTAAAGTTGTGCCACTCATCGATGTTACAAACACACCCAATGCAGCCAAATGCCGTGAAAAATTATTTGGCAATCCTGAGCCTGGTGTTCAGGTACGTTAGTGACCAGCTAACGATGAACGTTAAACAGAAATTTCACTGGTTGGAATTGTTACAGCACCCAAAGCTGATAATAGACTACCTGAAACGGTAAGCATAAATACTGAATGTTATGCAAAGGATAAATATTACAATCGAAAATTCGTTTCCACAGTCGCGAGAATGCAGGACAAACGTACAGTACAACGATTGCCTACCTGAAGGTAATCAAACCAATGCTCACCAAAGCCGTGAGTTTATTCCCATACCAGGACCCAACATTCCCTATGGTCGACGGGGTGCCCGACCGTAGGGAATGTGACAGAGTACTGTATACACTAAACACTTTGAAGGACACATTTAAAGGACGGGGTAAGTTGTCGACGCAGGAAACGTTTTCGAACAAAGTACTGGCGGCCGACACCTTACCCTCGTTTAGCCTAATTGAGGATCTGGTGACAAAAATGAAGTTGGAAATGGATGATCATTTTGTGGAACTCGAAATACTGTGTAACACTACAACGGCCAAAATTGACGTCGCGCCGAGGGTTATAAATCGGCGGAAAACCAATTTGGAAGTTAGTCGTTGAATGATATTATAAAAAAATACTAAATATAACTGATGAATTAATTTGTAAATTAATCTATTTGTTTTCAGGTCGCAAAACTTTGGCGGCAGGTGACGATAGCGCTCGCAGGCACATTGGTTATACTAAATAAGATCCGGGTGGGTGTGGTGAGGCACCTCACCATTTTTGAGTTTGAGGCGGCCACTCGTGGAGAGGATACTGTTATATGGGTCGCAAAACACAAATTAGGCGACAAGGCGCCGGCCGCCATTGTGTTAAACGACGAGATGATGGCCTATATGGACCGGTGAGTGAAAATAGACGAATAGAATTATTTGATCAAAGAATATGAACATTCCCATACTCTTTAGTTATTATTTATTGCGGAGGAAGTTGGACGACGTCAAGGTCGACAACTTCTTCGTGACCAACACGAGTTCGGGGTGTTCCTGGACATCATCTTCGACAACGTCGGCTGGTTCCCGCTGCTGTCCAGACTTGACGCACTCGGCGCCTCGCTCAGAACACTAAGACTAATCCAGAGCTACCTCGTAAATAGGTCAGCAAGCCTCGTGATTGAGGGTAAACGATGGTATATTCGTGTACAAATAAATCGGGCGTAGTGGTATGGACTAATACTGAGAAAATCAAAACCATTTTTGGGCGGATCGGTACGGCGACTGATGATAGAAAACAAAATGCAATCGCCGTGAGTAGTTGCAAAATGTAGTATTGTATAGCAGCATAAGTAGCACCCAGCGTGAATTGACGTGTTTTTTGATTTAGGATTTGATTCAATGGTGCCAAAGAAATTTAGCATTCCAGTTACCATCCGTGAGTATTGTATTATAATTTTTTGTGTGAACTCAAGTTTATAGCTTTTAATAATTTAAAGTCCAACATAGATGTATCAAGGATCTCAAAGGGTCTGTGTTTACGCAAGCCGTCGTTAAACTCGTACCGCTATCGGTGTTGGCGACTTTACCTGTTGACCGCCGACTAAGCTTGCGTATTCCCCTTCCCGTCCGACGTGTTATCTGACTGGCTATTTTGCATGTTGTGCTGGCGCGCCGATATGTCTACTCCAGTTGCCCTGTCTCGATTGACATCGGACGTCGCTGCTTTGACGTCCGTGGAGACCTTTTGGGTATCGTCTATTGTTTCGGCTTCTATATTGTACCGGTCGAGACCCGAGTTACGTGTCGTCTACTCGTATGTTATGCTATAATCGTCAGTCGCCGTCATTAATAATTGCTGTGTCGCGCGCGTAGTACGTACGTACCTACTTACATTGTTGTAGCATATCGCGTACATGTTACGTAAGGCCGTCGCCGCCGCCGCCGATCTATTTGAGTGTCAGGTGTAGTGCGTTGTACGGGAAGCCGCCGCCGTCCGTTCCACCGTCGACTGAAGGCCGTCGCCGAGCTATTTCCATAGTAATTGATTTATCATAATATCGGTCTGCGCCGCCGATCAGCTGGTCGCATATAATTATCACGTCCAGCCACCTCCGACGACCATCGCCGCCGCCACCCAACAATAACAACATCACCGCCGTCGCCGTTGCACTGAGATAAGTTCTCCCCGTATGTTGTATTATCATTTTATATTGTTATCATGAATTGTATTATTATTATTGAGTTTTGTGTATGTAGTTGACATAGAGACGTCTATCGTCAATTGCACTTAAATTATTATTAATATCATCTGAGATAATTGGTCAATACAAATATTATACTCTACCTACCATTTACCAAATTGTATCATTTTATTATTGTTTTCCTGACACCGCGAGTACGTCGTGTCAACTGCTTCGGTAAGAACACGACGTGCGCCAACAGTCTGAGAGATGCAGGGGTTGTTCCACTAACAAAATTGCCCAAGTACCACAAACCTGGTACTAGTAGTAAGTATATATTTTGGACATTAATTGTCTTGTATTACAATGTGCGTTTCTTCTCAGAACACTTGAGGTTTGATGATGATGGTGTGCCACATTGGGTACCACCCGTAACTCCGGTAAAAAATGGTAAGAAGTTTGTGATATTATAAAGATATGTTGTTAGTTTAATGTAAATGTCATTTATTCATTTCTAGATCCGTACGTTTTCGATGACGATGAGGATGTGAGTATTTCTTTCCCTTGTTTTTACTTTGAATTTTGATTTATTTTTTATTTTTACCCTTTTAGATATCTGAAATGAAGTTTTTTGATAAGAAAAATGGTTAGTTTTTTTTTTTTAAATTAAATATTCAAATGAATTCCAATACATTATTTTTTCTTTCAACTAATTTAGTGGTATCCATGATGTTTGATCGCGTCGAAGTAAAGGATGATAAAAATGGTAAGTAATCATATCTTAATTTTAACTTTTGTACATTATTTTTTTAATTTCAGCATTGCAAGTCACGGGTTGTCACTTCTGTATGTTTTGATCATTTTAAAAAGCGTATAGTTTATAGGCCAATTTTATAAATTTATAATTTTTGTATTTCAGAACCTAGGAGAGGTGGTAATATTTTTGATTCGACAAGCGAGGAAGCTCATTTGACTCAAAATATTCAGAAAAAAAGTTTTACCAGAATCCATCAAAAAATATAGGTAGTGGTTACCATTTGAAAAAATAAAGTCGATTTTATAATTGGTACCACAGCGTGTTAAACAATTTTGAAAATATTGTAAAAAAATTGCCTGTTAAATATAAAGAAACACATATTTTTTTGTTTTAACGAAATTACACTCTATATATTTTTTGTATAGTAAAAAATTATACAATAAAATAAAGTCATTAATATGTAATGATACAATTATTTTGAAATTAAAGTTGAAAGGGGGCTCACTAAGTGAAGGTATCCTGGGGCCCAATTGATCCTTAATCTGGGTTTGCTGATCACTTGACCATCTTTTTAAGTGTAGGTATACAGTTATATAGGTACAATATATTTGTATAGATTATTGAAATTATGATACATACCTATTATAGGCTAACCTAGTAACTGGCTATATTTTTAATAGAAAATATGTAGGTACTTACCGATCAGTTTAAAAATACTAATTAAATAAATATAATATTATCTTAAACAAAACACAATGTATGGTGGAATAAAGCTACAAGACGTCCGTTATAGTTCCACTGTCGAACTACGAATAAAACATTGACAAAATTCAAAACATATTAGTATAAAAAAAATAGTGAGACATCTTATCAAAATATGTTAATACACATAAAAAATGAAACTATTAGGTTTTTCCATCTTCTAGTCTAGACAAACATCCATGAGCGCGCTTTGATAATAATATATAGTCCCTCGACCAATAATTTGTCCCCTGATTAAAAAAAGACAATTGTGGCAGACAATTTGTTCTCCAATCTGTATACAATCATAAGCAGACAGTATTATCAGATATTATAAACACAATAATCATAATTATTACATAATAACTTGAAACCTTCTGCCATTATATTTACAATTTACTTATGTAGTTTTTATACACAATGACCTGCTGAATTAAAATATTATTAATAGCATACCTACTTGTATACAAGATTCAACATTTTTAATCATGAGAGTTAAATATTAATTTTGTTAAACTAATTTTGGTTTCAAATTTGTAATTAGATTTGTTCTATTACCTTATGTTTATTAGTTATACTTATAGTTAGGTACTTGATTTTTTGTGAGTAAAGTAATTGTTTTGAAATATATATTCAAAAGTAAATGTTAATATGATTTTATATTAGGTACCTAAATTATTTTTCAATAATTCGAGATTAAAATTAAAATAATAATATGTTATTTTATAAATTATTACAAAAAACTATTTACAATAAATCAACTAAATTCAAAAGTAGATGATTTACAGATATAAAAATGTTGTGACACTGAATTTTTATTAACTCTACTTTTTATCAGGTAGATCATGATCTAACACATTCCAGCACTAGTCAAGATAATTTTCTAAGACAAAGACAATTTTCTAGGACTGGGTACTTATGTACCTACCTACTCAAATTATTTAATCCACTCTATCTCACTCACTCACCCTCGCATAATTTATCGTACATAGTAGAGGGGGTGG